GCATACAGGAACTTGCCCCATTAATCTCCGGCCATCACTCACTACAAATTTACGACGCTACGTATACCTGCAGGGAGGAAATTAAATCATAATAAACAAACCTCGGGTCATGGTTTAAGTGGGACTGTTGCTCTAATGGGGCTATACATCTTGAGGAAGGACAAGCGGCTGAGACGTGGAACGAGATAAGGAATAGATCTCCGAAGACTATACTGGGACTGACATCTTCGTGGGGTTTCCAACTTTGGATTTTTTGTGGGCGCCAAGACCGAGATTTCGGCCAATTATCCAGGAGGGCCTCTTTAGGCAATAGGTACACGGTACTCCCCAGGGCCCTAGACGGCACAAAAGAAGTTAGGCTAAGCTACCATACAGCAATCAAGCTCTGTCAAGAATTTTCTGACATTTCAGCACGACCTTCGGGATGGAGTTGGAAGGAGGCAAGAAAGGCAGAGTGTGAATTCTCCGAGGTACCCACAAGTCTGCAGCGCCCAGCTGGCCGGCCTCTTCGAACGCTTCGGAAGGGTCGCTATGTCTTCGGATTTAGTCCTAATGACGGTATTAGGAGAGCCCCGCACCCAGTAGTTTTTTGCGATTTTTCCTGGCTGCCATAAACCCGCAAATGGCCATTGTTTCGTTGGTTGGAGAGGGGAGATATTGAAGGGCCGAGGGCTCCGCTAAGTGTATGATCGAATGAGGACTTGTGAGGGGTGGTACTGATTGAGGGGAGTTGTATGGGAGGCATAGAAGGGGATATACTACTGGTATAGGTATCCTTGGCCTGTAGGCAGAGAGGACCTGCATGTCCTACATAGTCATTGACTCAGACAGGAAAATAAAATGAATTAATAATATGTCGTCCGTCAGTGAAAATGCCTCACATTGTCTGGGAAAAATAGGCAGGTTTCAGCCTTAAAATGCACGTGATAAAAGTTTTCAGTTCCCTTCTCTTGGACCTCAAGACCTAGATACGGAAACTCAAAGTGACGAGAAAAAATGCGCCTGAGCTCGAGAGCAACCTTTAATCACCTACTCGGTTTTTGATAAATTGACCACTAGATGATCAAGAGATTTAATTTGAGAAATGCGTATGGATTGCTAGAGAATGGGAATGAGCTATTGATGCATGGTCCCGCCCCTAAAATAAGCCCAACAGGACCACAACCAAGTGACCTTCTCACGCTCACATGACTTCGGCACACAGCAAGTTGATTCCGATGGAGCCTATGACAACATATTGTAGGATCGAGTTGCGGACGGTAAGAGATGGTGTCAAAGTTTAGTGGTCGGCAAGACTGCAATGTCATGTAGAGGAGGTTAGCGTTGTTGAAATCTAGAAATTCTAGACCGTACTGCACGCAGTGTGGAATAGACTAAGACTACTCATCTTCGATTGCTACCAGCTTTGGTGAGGTTTCGGTTGGTAATGATCACGGTGGTGAGAATATTATTCCATCACGGAATCATAACACAATGTTTCTACCGAAGTGAGGTAGAACATAGATAGATAACTAGATGAAGATTAATACCCAACACTTTAAATATAAGTTCTTTCAACTAAAACCTCACTGATCCTAATATTTTATCACTGATCCTGAAATCTCCAATATCTTACGATCCATACAGTATTGGCTTGAGGGTCACATTCACTTCCATCATTGCAGATACCCCCTGATTTTTAATAAACACATTGGGGTCCTATGGAGAGGACTTGAGTTCGCGACTACAGCAAGCGCTATGCACATCTGAGTATCCCCAGTCTAAGCGAACTGTCGTAACAGTGAGGCGGACATGCGATGGGATCTCATGACCGCTGAAACCCTCTCTAGCTATGGTGCGGCGAACTCCGTGGTGATGGGATCCTGAAGGCAACATAGAGTGGGACCCCTTTACTTAGGCGGAGCGCGTGCTAATCATACATTTAACTGATAATATTTGAGTATTCTTCTAATTGATGCCTACTTCCTCGCGATTTATCAACTCGAGAATTCACGGCATATGTAGGTTCGCAGGCCCTGAATCAGAAACTGGGTTGTTCGAGTGTCAGATTGAGGCACTAACAGCCCAACCAAGCCTGGGAGCCGTCCCAGATGAGGTTAGAGGAAAAGATGAATCTTGTCCCCCGATTCACGAGAGTTGGGGTACGTGTGCGGCGAAAAATGCAGCCAGTCACACTCTCAGGTAGTTTACATTCTCGATCGTACCTAGTGAGCTTATTTCAGTGAAGCTCTAAGATCCAGCTAGATAACTCTCCCGTATAGCTGGCAAAACAGAGACTAGAGGTGCTTATCCCGATTCATAGTGGCAGTGTAAATGGAGACTGAAAAGTCCGAATCGACGGTAACACATGGCAATATGGAAAATAGCGGATGTTTGAGAGGTTAGATGCAGCAGTCGTGCGGCGAGGCAAACTCCATGACCCTGTAGCTGTTGAGGAGCTAAATATTGCGGTGACCACATGTTCACGAGGCTCATTTTCATGCGGGCTGTAAATCTAGAGAGTATCATGGATGGTTACGTTCCTTAACCTCTGGTGTGCTAAAGCAGCGCTCAGATCCAGCCTCTGCGCCCGATGCATTCATCGTGCAGTCGCACAATGACAGGGATCGCGCGGCATCAAGTCGCTTAGGTTTTTTGCTGCTGCAAAGGTTGAGTCGAAGACGTACTGTGACAGATCCTTGAGATAGCAGGGATTTTTACTTACGGCTGTACTTGCGGAGACGAAAGTGTTTTTTGGCCGCGTTGGATGAGTATGCGGATATGGACTACACGTTAGTCCGCAAGTTTCGATGAAAAAAGGGGCATCGTGACAATCATAATGATGGTGTTGTAGAACAAGGCGCGGATGTCAAACAATTGAATTCTGAATTGCTAGGTCGATGCGAGTATGAACCACTGGGGTTTACGAAGGAGGGGTATCTGGTATGCTATTTACGGCGTCGACCTGGTGGTCAACGCTAAGCCGGAGCTTCTCCATGTAAATTAGTGGAGAAGGAAATATGATTGCTGGAAATAAGTCCATTCCCTTGGGCGTTTGTGCGTCTTAACCCCCAAAAGCGACATGATCGGCGGTGTCAGGAACATCCTCATAGGCAGTGGTAGAATTGCTTCCTACTCATTTCCAGGCGTCGCAGCCGATCAGAAATATCACTACAACATAGCCTTTATAGTATTTTTTAGTTTCGGATTCCGTAGATTTTGTTCCCACAGACTCCATCTGAGGTTGTTGCCCCAGCCTTCATTCGCAGCTGTGTCCTTCAGATGCATTCGATTCTTCAGGGTGACTTCTATCAGCTGCAAGTCACCTACATAATCTGCTTGCTGTCAGTAACAGAGTTTGGGGAAAGTAGCTATGCTGAGTTAAGCCTATTATTAGTATCCAATAGCAATCAGCTCGGCAGCTAAGTCGGAGTTGTTCATTTAACGGTTGACCGTTGTATAATTTTACTTTCTTAATAATAGCCTACCTAGGGTTTAAACAAACTACAGCTTGTGGACATCATATCATGGTGTTTCCAAATTAGTGAAGTTTGTATTTTTGGAGACCTTGAGGGTCAGGCAAGACATCGTACAAGGTTGAGTTCGTAGGAACATTCAAAAGGTTGCCATTTTCGCGTGATGGTAGAGCCGACGAGGAAGTGATCTCTAAAAAATAATAAGTGATAAAACTTTGATCTTAAATCTAAGACTACTTCATGTACGATATTGCTTGCCAACCTATACACCTCGATTCTTTTGTAGACTGAAAAGGTCCTGAAATCGAAATAAGATATTAGTTGAGAGTAGCACCTCCACTTCGTCCAGTAATCATTTAGACGTGAAATTCTGGCAGAATGAGAATTTATGCAGGAGTACCTCATAAAACTCATACTCGATGGCGGACGGTCTTGCCCTCGCTATTAACCGCCTAATTAGCAAACCAGCCGGCTACTACATGCCGAGCCGAAGCGAATCACTGGGAAATTCATTTGTAGTGCGCAGCAACTGTGTGCATATTACGATGCCGCTAAAATTTCGCCAAGACCATCTGAAATGGTGGGTAGTGTTCTTGTGTTATGATTCCGAAACTGATGCTCTGCAAAGATCCCGAACTGGAGCTTGGTGATTAGAGGATTCCGAAGAGCCGACAGGGATCGCTGACCAAACTTCTTACCAGCCCCCAAACTTATCTTTTATTATCTGATCGGATTGTGAGATCAGCTCTGTCTCTTTTCCCATCACACACCTGCAGCAAAGCCGTTACTTTTATCCACAAGTTGTTCCATCCGTTACACTACCAAATGACGCACAACAGGCGCACGTTAGGGGCCTCTGCATGAAAAAAGCACTGAAAGTTCCGGTCCAGCTTAGTCATTCCATTTTTACGGCATTTGACGATGGAAAAACAACAGGTTCCATTCATACCTACAATCGACCTTCAACGTACCCTTGAATACCGAAAGGCCGACTATGTCTCGCACTCCTGCCCTTGGGATTTATGGTGGTACAAAAGAATGAGGACTCAAAATTTACCATCCTATCGACCCCTCCCCCAAAAACTACATCGATTGGAGGCAGATGTCCGTAAGCGCCCTACAATAGGAATGCGCCACACTAGGCATGATGATTCGTCACCCCAGCCGTCATCAGACGCCTTGTTGCAGCTCTACTTAGCATCTTTAGCGCTAACCAACCCGACGGAAGAGCAACCCCGACTTATGTCGATTCCAAGGGTTAGATCACAAATATGGCAAAATTTGCCCATGTTTGATCCTAAGCGCTTCAGGACTGCGACAAACTAGCTATGCATGAAACGAGAGACCCTTTTATTTTCCATTTTCTATCATTCTTGACTGCCGCGGACATAGAATCGTTGCAGTCTTGATATATTTCCTTGGCTCGCCCGTCTCTTTGAACCCATTATTTTATTTTTTCAATCTCCATTTATCCCAGACATAAACCGGGTTACGGGTAGACTTATTCTATATCACTTCGTCACGAGTTACTTTTTCTTGCCCAATATGAGTGGCGGATTGTATATCTTACCCGCAACTACTTTCGAGAGAAGATATCACTCTCCAAGTGCTTCTAGACACCGCCGTCGTCTTAATACTATTGTTGAAGACGAAGAATCGACGCCATATCTAGTGAATATATCGCACGTCGATGACTTAAATCCTAAAAATGTGGACGCACCCTATTCTCTACATACCTCCTCCCTCAACCAAGATAACGACTTCTTGTCTGAAACAATCTCACCGTTTTTAGAAAGTCTGAATGCTGCAAATATGGGCCTTCCAAATCCATCTGAGCCATGGCTTGGGACAGGGTTGACAGTAGATAATTTCAAGTTTGAGGATTTATACGACGTATCATCAGACGAGGAGATCCGAAGAAAGAGAAGACGACCTACACACAAAAAACATACTCCAAACCCTCAAAATCCCAGTCTTCCATTGATTAATTCGGGCAGTCGGGCTACAAGGCCTAAACTACCAGCTCTCATCACTTCATCAGATGATGATCACCAAAGACCAGAGTTTGCTGGATATATGAAGAGATCACCACAGGTACTTTCAAAACCCAAGTCCATGATTCAAATGTCCCCCAAGTTCTTTTCCTATCAACAGACATACAATGTGCCTTCCTGTTCAACACCGCCATCTCTAGATGGTAGTCAGGCCTCTGAGCAATTGACTCGGTTCTCTACACCAACTACGCCCAATTCTGATAGTAGTCAAAGTGATGGAGAAAAATGGGATCATGGGGTACAGCTACACCCAGCAGCTTTGGCTACTTTGCAGAGCTTCTCCGCTACCGATCAGGTGTACAAGAGGGCCCAAACACAGCAACTCAGTCCGATACTGGAGGCTCCAAAATCTCCAGAAAGCTCCCGACTATCTACGTCAACCATGATGGCTGCTCTTCGAAGAGATCAAATTCTTCAGTCCTCAGAGCAGTGGGCCTCTCTAGACATGTGTATGCAACTTAATACTCCATCGTCTCCTGTTGATTTTTGCTTGGAATCACTTTCAAACATCAAATATTCCTTACAAGCCGAATCTCCATCGTCAGCAATAGCTGAACGCTTTTACAAATCACCTTGGATCTTGAATACCGCATATAATATAAGTGGCACCCAAGAGAACTTTCCACACATTGCAAATGCTGATATAAACAATCATGAAGTAAAGATATCAGAACTTGGTCAAGTCAGGTTCGATGAACTTCAGGACCTTATTGCTCCAAATAATAATAATAAGCTTGAAAAAATAAATCATACAGATATATCCATACTTGCCGAAAAATCGGATGATGATGTCGTCGCCGAAATTGATAGGACAAGTATGTGGGTTGCATCACAATGCTCACTTATTTCTAATGAATCCAGCCCAATAATTCAGGAAAAAGAAACATTAGGTTCCACATGTCTAACTGCGAGTACTGGACTCAAAGAAGAGGAACCGGAGGTAGATTTTTTAAGCGGCTCACCAATAACAAAAGCTAGTCGCTCTCTAGCAAAGACTGACCCGTTGGAATCAGTATACTATAACACCTTTCGAAATTTATATTCTCGCGCTAGTGATATGGATATTTTTGTCCATCGTAAGCCGCGCTTTGAGGCGATTCAGTCCCAACGCGTATCATTTCCTACCCGCCATTGTGCTCAGGTCTTGGGAAAATACGAATTTAATATTGAATCCAAGGGAACTAAATACAGACTTTCATCCAATGTTGCACGGGGCGACGAGATTTTCCATGACGAGGAAGAAGACTGGATAGCCCGCAAGAAGCAAAAAGTCTTCGAGCAGATATTGCCGGCAACATGGAATTTAATGGCCATCAAATTTCTGAACGGTGGTCGCTTCCTCGCTGAACCAATATCACAGCATCTTGCCTGTCGCTTATCCATGCGTCTCAAGTATGATGGTCTTTTTGACCGGGCTCACATTCTTGACCTTGGTGGCCAGGCTATTTGTGACTGGGCCTGGATCTGTGCTGCCGAGTACTCAGAAGCGCGCGTCTATACTATTACGACTAAAACCCTGCACCACTTTGCCAACACACATATACGGGGCCCACCTAATCATCGCTATTTTGCTGTTGATCGGCTTGTCAGATTACCTTTTCAAGATAATCACTTTGATCTGATCTCCGCACGCGATATTCATACAATCCTCAAATTTCGTGCCAAAGGCGACGAGAACGAATGGGAAGCATGTCTCAAGGAGTGTATGCGTGTGCTTAAGCCTGGCGGCTATCTAGAATTCAATATTATGGACTCAAATATCGTCAACGGTGGTCCGCTTGGCTGTGCCAAGAGCCTCGAGTTTGGTCACAATCTCGAGGTGTTCGGCTACGACCCTCAGCCGACAAAGAAGTGGCTACAACGCTTGGAGCACGCTGGATTTAGCGAGATTAAGCGCGGATGGCTCTTTTTGCCCATGGGCCCTCAAAGAGACAGCGCAGGCGTCTTTGGAAAATCCAGCGATGAAGTGACGCATTCAGGGAGCACGCAGGATATCGCAAGTATTTCAGGATTAGTCGGGGCTTGGGCGTGGGAAAAGTGGTTACTCAGGTATAAATTGCAGACAAACTGCGTCGATGGTAACTTTGCAGGTGTTCAGGATATAATTCAGGAAGGGAGTAAATGTGGGGCTGGATGGTGGTGTATTCAGGGCTGGGCTAGAAAACCGATGGATCGCGTCTAAGCCATCATCAATCGCTATTAAGCATTCTTCCTATAAATTCAAGACGCTTCCTCTCTCGTTTCCTTCCCTCGTCAACTTGCGTGGCCTCAGGGCTCCTGACTCTACTCGCGTGCATGTGCCTGCCACCAGGCTTAATCAGTCTGCGTTTCTTTGCTGTTCGGCTTGTCGCGAAGTGCGCGAGTATTGCGGGCTCAATGATATCTATCAACTTCGCGCCTTCGTATAGCTCAAGCCGAAATAGATGAAGGGAATACTCAAGCTCTATGTGTCCACAACTCTAGCACCAATTTCCCAGAAAATCTGAGCCCCTACAACCAGCCATACTTATTACCTCAGGTAGCCAACAGAGAAGGTTTGTAACGGCTGCTAAGCCTAAGAATTCCTGTAGCCTACGCTGGCTAGCGCAGGCAATGACATCAAGGGAATCTTCGGGGATCTTCGGGAAGGATCTCGGGATACACGGAGCTTAGAAGATTCTTAATGAACCTTCTGGAAGTATACTGAAGGTTCATGAGGATGACAGACATATCGAGAGTCTTCTAGGGAATCTTCGAAGATTCCATATTACTCTAGTCTTAGGGGGAACCTTATAGGAGGGGAGTATCTTAGAGTGTATATATATTTGTAGTCTAGCTATAGGAATTCTCTCTCTAGAGAATTATAATTAATATACTGTACCTACAAGATCGCCCAAGCATGTTCTACTGAAACCGTGACAAGGTTACTGACTTTTGCTCTTCTCAAATAAAGGTCAGCGATTGAATAGTTGATAGGCCACAATTCGATTCTGTATAATTCCCCATTATCGCAGAGACGTCAATGGATTCATGACGTTGTTTAATGATAGGCTAGTATTGATTCCGATACTATTCAGAAGACTTGTCCCGACCAGTAGAGGGCTGCAACGCCTTTATCTGTCTAAAGGTGAATGCCCCATTTTCTATATACGCTAGCCCTACATGATCTAGCCTATAAACCATGATTCGTACCATCGTTTTGGAACTAAATTTTACCGTGTATTCGGCCACTTGAGTCACATTGGAGGACGAAGGCTGAACACCTGTCAGTGGTGTCCTCTACGAACCTGGGAGTGAAATGTTCTCCCAGATCCGAGATTCAGTCACGAAAATGGGTGGGATGAATTTCAATTGATGGATTTTCGACTTGAAGGAGTTGCACTCTATATTTAGGTCGAAAAATTAGTCGACAGAGATTTCACAGCCGGAACAACGTCGAACAAAAAGTCATCACCACCAACATACGATTCACGAATGGGCCTAGGTCTATCTGGGGGTCGTATTCAAACATCCGACATCTCTTAAACTCCTTTTAAACTTGCGACGAAGCATTTCTCAATCGATCCTACACCTGCGACCTACCTCCATACCCGTCCGATCACCTACCTACACACGCCCTAATGAGGAAAGTCATGATGGAAACGGGACGTGTACAAAGGAGGAAGAAGAGGGAAGATACACCGAGGGGATTACACAAATCCCCAATGACGAAAACAACCCAACGGTACGATATGAAGGTACAAGGCTAGAGCAACGATGAGATCTTGGACGGCATTTATATTTCGTAGTCAATGAGGATGTCAAGGGCTCGGGCGCGTGGTGGCCGAGTCTGAGGAGGAATTTGCGCTTCAGCGTGTCGACAGCGGGTTTCTGGACAGTCAGGCTTGGTATGATTCAACACATAGGTGAAGTCTGAGGTGGTCCGGTCATTAAAGTGGGACGATGTTTATCTATACTTCACGGTAGTTAACCTGATCCGGCCCAACCCCACACGTGCTTAAGCTCCAGTAGGAGTGCAACGGTAGCCATGTAACCTAGCACGTAAATGAACAAAACAAAACAAAACTTGGGTCACATTCCTGCTAATTGGAAATATCGCGCAATGAAATGGGCGCAATGTTTAGGGAACGAAAGAAGGAGCTGACTGAGAGAGTTTCATGTTTGGATTACGGCTAAATAAGTGTGAAGTGTGAAGTGTGCGCTACAAGTTCAAGTGGAAGCGACATAGAGCCTAAGCCATAGCACAAACGATCGTGGCGCCATCTAGACATTGAAAACTCCCAATAAACTGCTTGTGCCCAGGCCACACAGCCGCTCGTATATCTAATGATTAGCCTGATGCACTATCATATCACTCATTCCAACCCCTTAACTAGACACAAGATTGTGTCGGGAACCTAGACAAAATGGAGGGCCCGTACGTCCACAACACTCTGTGTCTCTATTTCCAACACTGCTTAACACGCGACACGCTAGAATTTCAATCCAATAATCTACACTAACCCGAAACTACTCACAGGAGGGCAAGACTGAACACCTGTACGCGGTGTCCTCTACGAACCTGGGAGTGAAATATTCTCTCAGAGCCAAGTTCGGTCAAATTTCGCAACACCGAACAAGTTGGCCTACGAGGCAATGATTCAAACTACTCCACCACGTCAAATCTTCACTCCCAAAGAGTCCGATTCTCAACTAAGCTTCATCAAGTCTACAGGTACGACCTAGTACATCCTTATCCCAATGATCACACCTCTTGTCGACTTTCTCCGGCCTCAGTTGACCACCAAATACACACCCACGCCGATATGCATACCCGACGGAGGAAACAAAGCGTGGAGCACAAATCTATGAGATAGCTCTTTGGGACGGACGTGAGAGGGATCAAGACAGTTTACAAGATGATGCAAAGGAAGGATACAAACTTGACGGGCGCGTCATTTTGAATTTTGGCAAGAGTTTTACGAATTGGGCTTTGTGCGCGCCAAGATTTCGCTTGCGAGAATGTAGCTGACACTATAAACATAAGCCAATGATAGGAGGTGCCGTGGTCCGTCTCCTGGTGTTGTTCTCTGGTATAGTTCGAGTAGCCTGGGCACCTACTCCACTTGGGAAGGAGACATCTCAGATCACATTTCGCGCGGAGAAAAGTTGATGGATGATGGAGGCATGTTTGGATAACTCAGGGTTTTTGAGATGTTCCCCTGAGTGGGTATTCACGGATGAGGGTTTACTTGGGGTGAAGAAAAAGCCGCCATAACTTCGCAGTGGTACTTGGAAATGAAATCTGAGGCATGAGTGCTCTTCCTTAACGATGAATCATCTATTCTGTACTTTTCTTTGATATTGTGTCATAGCTAGATAGCTGCAAACGCAATTAAAATCTGATGCAAAAAATTAGTAATACAGCAGCCCATCCTCCTATCCCCTGTCTCATAACAACTCAACTGCGCAAGCACAACAAGGGAATTTTTGACTAGCTTTTTGTAGCAATATTGGTACCTTTTAGAAGTTGTAATAATTAGGGCTATCAAGTATGCCACGTTGTCAATACATACGTGACTACAAATTCTCTAGTTAGCTTCACTTCGTTAGTTACTTGAATCAATGCGCTCTACAACCTCAATGACTAAGGGGTCATTACTTCCTTGATAGCATCGATCATTTTTATCTTCCAAATTCCCCGCTGAGAAACAACTAAAACTGAGAGAGAAGAGATAATGGCTTATTCTCAACGCTATTCTAGAGATGGAACCATTACCCAAATATATCACGTGATATAACACGCATGTTGTCGGTTGGTAATATACACGTGTACGCGTACGCAATGGGTCTCTCGATGATGTGATGATTCTTCTTCTTCTTTCTTAGATACAGGCGTGTCAGCCGAGTGCAGGCAACACTATAAACATCGCCATGGTTGGATGGTGCGGTGGTACATCGTCTTGGCCGTTCTGCCAAGTAGAGTCTGGATAGCTTGGACACATATCCCACTTGAGACAGTAGATCGCTGGTTCAAATCCAGCAAAACTCAACCACTTTTCTCGCGGCGCTGGTATGCATGGATGACGAAGGCATACTTGAATAACCAAAGGGCTTGAAATTCCCTTTGGTGGGTACTTACGGAGGAGGGTCGACTGTATGTGTAAGCGAACATACCTCATAGTGGCATTTGCAAATGAAATCCAGAGTATGAGTGTCTCTAACGTCAAAAGAGTCATCCCGCATGTATACATAGCGCCGGTCATGTGTCATAGGTTTATAGCTGAATATGTTGATAGGACTTAATCACTAGTGCTGGGAATGGAAATAGAGTGTACTGAATTGCATATATTATTGTTACATCTATCTAGGGTGTTTCGAACGTCTATGGATTAGATGAGACGCACAGGCCTCTCAATGTTAGTCAGCTATTATTGTCTGCCGAGCCTAATGGCCTGAGGTTGCAACACCCAACCTGAGTGGAACCAACAGAATACATATTAAATGATTAAAAAAAAAGGCGTGTCAGCCTTAAGGGCGACACGGCAAGCTGCACCAATCCACGTGACTAACAAGCAACATATTGTGATCTCTCTCCTGACCCGTGTACACCCCAAATTTGTGTTGCGACAGATGTGATGTTTTATTGCACTACTTGAGCCAAAGACTATTGACTATATTGGGCTCATTTTTGACCCAGGCCTCACCTTGTATAGCGCCACTTGTATCTTTTGTTACTTGAAAGATCATTGATGTATTGCCCGTGATGAGTAGCCATTCAGCTCAGTATCTACCCTTGGAATTCGCCCACCTTTTCCACGGAACCTTGTTATTAATGGAAACTACGTGCGCGGGAAATAGTCTCAAAAAAACCTATAGCCTTAGCCAGGCGAGGTCTAAACACCGGGACCACATGAAGTGCGCATATCCATTTTCATCTTCCTTCTTTGTAACATAAGAGGCCAGCTCGATCCAATCCACGATATCCACAGCGGCTGCTAGGTACGCTCCGGAAACTCATTGGATGGCTTTTCCCCCATAATTATGATGATAGGGGATATGTTGAGAGAAAAAGATGATATAGATCGCGGAGGCGATTGGTAACCCTCATCGGGGTGAGGACGGTGTTACTCAATTCCGTTACTGCAGACTTTACATTGAGAGTCGGAGGCTCGTAGAGGACACCACTGACAGTTGTTAAGAATAGTATCTCATTCGGTCCTGAAAGATATGTGTTCAGAGTAAGACTAAATCAAATCTATCCCATGAATATGACGTACCAGAACTATGCTGTGCTAATAATAACCTCTGTGCCTAATGCTTGCGTTCACTTCATTTAACGACCTAACCCCTACATTATTCAACATTTTCAGAAGGCTGGCCATCATCTCATGATATCGATGATCTAGTTAACTTTTAATTCTCTAGAGCGTATCTTTATATGGTAGGCCTAATCTAGTGAAGGTCGCAAGATGATTTTGAGTGGTGTAAAGTTCCCGACAAATGACAGGCTAGTGAAAGGTGTCCGTTATATGTATACTAGCCCTAGATCGGCTTGAGACCATCTGTGATTCATATTTGAGGTAAAAATGGTTAAATTTATTATTTTAAATAGTAGTGAAATCTCTTCAAGTTGGGTTCCCGTTCGAAAACCAGCCAACACAACACATGATCGCCATCTCGCCGAGGGGTCTCAAATTTACTTTTTAACACAATTGAATCTCGGCTGTGGTAGAATATTTTATCCCTGGGTCTAAATATGGCACCGCAAACTGGTGCTCAGTGCCTAACCTACAGAAAGACACTGATTGTGAACTTGCTATTTTAAATAAATTACATATTCTTCGAGAGCTGATGTTCCACTTCCGCCATACCTACATTCGATGACATAAGCGGGTCCTCAACCGGCTCGTTATCTACGCCGGTTCAAGAGAGTTAGATCCTAATTCCAAAAATGATAGCAACTTTGCAACCTTCAGCACTGCAGATTCATATTCCTGGCTATGAATCGAAAACAAGTCTGATATTGCCGAAAGAGCTCAAAATAGAATGGCTCAACGCATACTTCATTGCCGCAAACGAAGGAGACAGGACAAAGCGGCCTTAAGGGCTCGATTAGTCTTGGATGATCATATTAATGATAACATCGGCTTACTTTCCGAGGATTTATTCACAGAATTGTTCCAACAGAACATACCTGGTCAGTGTAGTCGATAAGTCCTAACGTAATTTCTAGCTAATCTGATAATCATTTCATAGATAGTGAAAACTATGTGAAAAAAGATATCCTTGAACCTTTTTATGTTGCCATAAGCTCGAGTGGATCATCTACTGCAATAGAAGATGCCTCATGGTGCATCGTTCCTATAATACCCTCCAAAAATACGATTAATTCATCGGTAAAATTCTCGTCCAACTCAACTGCCCTTCAAAGCATTGCAAAGACATTTCACAAGCTCGCACCATCGAATTTATCAGGCTATGGAAGAAACGGAATTGAGGTTAGGATTATCGATGCGATTCCTCTGACTTTGGACAGGGTTTATGTCTCTATCGAGAGAGATTCCACTAAAAGACTCGAGAACGGTGAAGGTACTTTCTACGACGGCCATTCACGAATAAATTCTACCTCAGAGCCGCTATTGGATTCTATCAGAAGAGCCTTGGGCACCTTGACAATTGTTCACACTGGAGATTTGTTTGCCCTTCCTCTGCAGCCTCACCCAATTACACACGTGTTCCCGCCTCCAGCGAAAGTAAATTATTGCGAACCGGTCGGACAGGGACTCCTGTCTCCACACACCAAAATAATCCTCTCACAGTCCGGATCTCGGAATAAAAGCAGTTATTTTACTAATTCAGTACTCATACCACCAATACCAGGTAGAATTATCGAAGAGGACGAAGATACATCAAATGACCAGTTCTTCTCAGCAGCGGAAGACTGTAACAAATCTGACATTGGAGTCGAACCTAGCTCTGGCCTAGATACCGAAACAGAGGTATCAAGCACAGAAAATGATGATTTCTCAGATGATTCAATTGAAAATATGATCTCATTACAAGTTCCACTTATTTCGACACAAAGTACCAGTGGACTATCGACGGTGCAACCAGGGACGCCTCGCACTGTAATATTTGGAGGAAATCCTGATGGTCTTAACACTCCCGGAACTATTGTATCAACATTTACCTCCAACACAGTTAGAGGATATAATTCCAAAGGGGTGTTATTCAAGACGCAAGCCTTGATGAGACCTGTTGAAGAAGAGTTAATACACCCAAAACCTCTGGTTGATGATGACGAAGAGGCAAGGATATTTGTTGAGATTCGTTCATTGCCTAAAATAGGATGCTTCTCTGGCGATTGGGTGCGAGTTGAGTTGGTAACAGAAGCTGAGGTTTCAGCACAAAGAACTAATCTTTATTCGACAGAAATGAACAAGATATGTGGAAATGAAGTTGCACAATGGCGACCCGTCAAGGTATTTGGATTGCCCGAGAAATATTCGCGCCGTCCGGCATCTAAAATATCAAATATGCGGCAGGGTTGTAGAAGAACGTCCTTCTTCCAGTCACAGGCTCAAATAACTTCTAGTCCAACTGTTTACCTCTCGCCAATTCTTTTGGCAAACATGTCTCATATTTCACATTGTAGAATATCTTCTCTCAAACAGAACCTTCAGCTTGGTAGAAACTCGATGCCAAAAATAACAGGCACATCTAGACCACCTTTTGTACGGGACTTAGCTCTCGTCAAAATATCAACCCCATTTTCTACTGAGCGCCCTCTTCAAAACGTACAGTTTATAGGTCTTCAGCGATATTTTGCGAATAAGACTCGAATTGTAAAGCAAGGTGATATTGTTGCCATCGGCATCGATGAAACCCTTGGTCGAACATTATACCAACCCGGTACAAATGATGATGTAGAGAATGATGACATCCTGAGGTGTTATAATTACGACGATACAAGACCAAACAAACTCGGTAGACCTACCGGTGTAGCGTGGTTTAGAATTAACTATGTTGGGAACGCCAGGGAAGCTGACGAAACAAGAAATGATGATAGTATCTGGGGTGGAATCGCCTCAGTTGATGCATCTTCCACTCGTATCTCACAATTAGGAAGTGAGAACTGTCGATTACCAGGAAGTCTGGAGAATCCATGGGAATATTACCTTGGTTTAAAAAACCTTACTTCTTCTCAAAATAATTTTATTTCTGTTCCAAAATTAAGAGACTCACCTGCCTCAGCCTTACAGCGTCGCTTACGAGAACTTATAGCTGCTGCTATGAGCCCTTACACCATGCATTTGCAGGCAAGCCCTCTCGCTATTCTTCTCGTCTCGACCCAAAGAAATATTGGAAAATCTACTCTCGCCCAACGTGCCTTTGCAGATATGGGTCTCCATTGCTTTATTATTAATGCGTACGAAATATTAAGTGAGGGTGACGCTAGTAACGATATTAAAACGGCTGGTTTACTTGAAGCACGGGCGGAGAGAGCTATGGCATGTGGCTCCAGCTATTGTGGATTATTAATTCGCCATATAGAGGCATTTTCGGCCGACCGAATGATTTCAAGCCTCCAGACAATAGTTGAGGGCGTCCGGATTCTAATCGCCACGACTACTGAAGTCGAAAAAATACCCGACATGATGCGTGGACTATTTACTCATGAAATAGAAATGATAGCCCCCGATGAGTTAGAGCGCGAGAATATTCTACAGGATATTACTGAAAGTCAGACAGTTCCACTAGCGCCAGATGTTGATCTCAGATCCATTGCGGTGAAAACTGCAGCTCTAGTTGCTGGAGACCTAGTCGACCTTGTCGATCGTGCTATTGTTGCACGATTGGAAAGATTGGAAAAGCTAGTGTCGGATTTCAGCAGTAGTAGTTATAGTATTACCATTCGAGATATAATCGTTGCTGGCGGCAGTTTTGGGCGGTGTCTTATCCGAGAAGATTTTAATGTCGCAGTGGATGCTGCCCGCAAGAATTTTGCAGACGCTATTGGCGCTCCAAAAATCCCAAATGTAAGTTGGAATGATGTAGGCGGATTGACTCACGTCAAGGATGCTGTTATGGAAACAATTCAGCTGCCACTAGAACGACCAGAATTGTTTGAGAAAGGAATGAAGAAAAGATCTGGTATTTTATTCTACGGGCCACCTGGAACTGGGAAAACACTTCTCGCCAAAGCTATTGCCACCGAATTCAGTCTTAACTTTTTCAGTGTCAAAGGGCCTGAGCTTCTCAACATGTATATTGGAGAGTCTGAAGCAAACGTGCGTCGTGTTTTTCAACGAGCGCGAGATGCTCGTCCTTGCGTTGTTTTCTTCGATGAGCTAGACTCCGTTGCACCGAAGCGTGGTAATCAAGGTGATAGTGGAGGTGTGATGGACCGAATTGTTTCTCAGCTTCTGGCTGAGCTTGATGGTATGTCGGATGGTGACGATAGTGGAGGTGGTGTATTTGTGATCGGCGCGACTAATCGTCCTGACCTACTTGACGGAGCCTTACTACGACCTGGGCGATTTGATAAAATGCTATATCTCGGTGTCAGCGATACACATGAGAAGCAGCTAACTATCATCGAAGCACTAACACGAAAGTAAGTAAAAACCTAGTAAACTTATTTGAGATGCTAATACATTCTTTTCCAGATTCACTCTCCACCCCACTCTCTCCCTTCAAAATATCGTCACAAATCTCCCTTTCACTTATACGGGCGCCGACTTCTATGCCTTGTGCTCGGATGCCATGCTCAAGGCTGTCATGCGCCAATCGTCTCTCGTCGATGCCAAAATTTCGGAAATAAATCGCATTCAGGCATCCTCTGGACTACCTAAAATATCTACAGCCTACTTTTTTGACCACTACGCTAAAAGCGAAGACATTTCTGTCATGGTAACAGAAGGAGATTTCTGGGCTGCGCAGAAAGAACTAATCCCCAGCGTGAGCATAAAAGAACTCGAGAATTATGAGCGAGTTCGTGCTCGCTTCGAAAAGGTCGAGAAAAAGGTAGGCTCCGCTACACCGGATAAAAAGGGAAAAGGCAAAGAAATTATCTCAGAGGTATAGCAAGGAGACGAACTTCTTGCTTAATGTTCAAAATTGTAATATACATGTAAAGGTGTAGGTAAGCGTCGTCTAGCTCTACAATAAAGATTTATATTGAGAAAGTAATAACCCCTCAGTCATTGAGGTTGTAGGGTGTATTCGTTCAAATAACTACCGAAGTGAAGTTAAGTACAAAATTTGTCATCACGTGTCTGTCAATAACGTGGCCTTCATAGCCCCAATTACTCTGACTTCTGACACTTCCGTATACTTTACTTGACCTCGTATCGCAAGTCGTGTGCCTTGTAAAGTAGATATGGATTTTTTTTTCAGCTACGCCGGACAATGATTGGTTCTATTTGTAGTGAGCCAAGAGTGAGAAGTAATTCATGCACACCTTATCTCACTGCCTTCTGTACGGGAAAAACATATATTTTTTTCTTCATTAAACACGTGCTCGTAAATAGCTCTCGTGATTTTTACACATTATAAACCAGTACACCCGAACCGCAGCACTCAGCAACAAATGTAAGCGAGGGAAAATATAATCCTGGCTGTCGGTGAAAATGAAACACTCTATTCTCGTTAGTGTTCATTGAGGTTAGCATGTTGGAGCGTCGTCGTTAGATAGGTATCCATTCATCAAACTACCCTAAAAGTGAACGTTTAAGAGTACTAACGCCAATCTAGGTCTGGTGTCACGCTCACATACTCAGCTATCTTGGTACTGAGAATAACATCGATGATTGATCATAGCTCTATGACGGTATAAGTCCGGTCTTGCTTACCACTAAAGCTAAGCAATGAGTTAGATGAAGATTTACGACCCTAGTATTTGCCTTTCTCAATGTGCAGAGGTGTGATGCACGATAATTTGCTGGCGCTGGACATCGCTAATGCGGAAATATTGCGTCCTAAGAGTACTTAGTCTTGCCAAAATGCGGCAAGAGCTAGTTAATTATTAACAAATCGGGTTTGAATCGAGCTGCATCTTGTGCCATGCCACAAGTATTGATAGACCATTATTTTAAGCCCTTTAAGAAAGACCAGCAACTGGTAGTTAAGAGCTGGACTAATTGTTGGCAAACTATTCGAGGAAATTTTGAATTACTGAAGAATAATTGCTGGAAGCATAATCGTCGTTTATCTTGATGTACCGAGGCAATTCCTGATCTTACATCACTCATTTTCATGATAACTGGATGAGCGATCAACTAGGATCAAAACATCGAGGCAAGCTGCAAATGCCTCTCGTATAGCGCATGACATGCTATGATAATTATGTTAGAGATATAGAATAATAGCATAAAAATGAGGAACATTATTACCAGGTTTTGGATACGTCAGCAACTAATGCACTGATACCTTCATGAGCACACCACGCTCTTGCTAATACTTCGTTGTCGGCTATTCCAAACGACTCGATTACTAAGACGTTTTCATCATTTCCCCCTAGCCTTGCTGAATATTCATCTTCATGGTCCTGATTCTTCCAATCTCCCATACATAAAATATCATCTATGGGTATAATTTTATATTCATAGTCGATAAAGAGAGGATGTGGACCACCCTTGCATGAGGCTGCATTTATAAACATGACATTAAACCTTAATCTCAAAGGCCAGCTAGTACCATCAACAGCAAATTGAATGCAAGCATCGAAGTTGTCGGGAACGCTTTTGTGACTCTCTACTTTAGCCTTTGGAGAGGAAATTAATCGAAGCTTTAGTTTTTCGATCCTAATATTATTGACGAAGGAGTCTGGGTCAAGATTAGGCTCTACAATCATGTAATCTGAAATGGGGTATGTCTTCGCGACAGGCCCAAGCGGTAATGAACGTTCATTCATGGTTTCTACGTCGACAGCTTTTAATCTTCGCTTTGCTTCTTGTTGAAAAATTTGAGCAGCCTGGGTAGGATCAAGACCTTCAGCTGAGCAAGCTGGCCCTATCCAACCACCAATCTCCTTGCATGTAGGAGCAAGAACTTTACCTAGGATACAGTTGGAAGTCCAATAGGTTGTCCCTTTATACTGAAAGCCAGAATTTGGAGACAAATGAGTTAGAAGGTCGAGTGTTGGATAAGCCAATGAATTATCGAAGCTGAGAAGAGATTTCATCAAGAGAAATGGAAGGGTCGGACCAGGAAGTATTACAGACGATAAATACGATAGAGCATGCTCGGAGAGGTCACTAACTTCCAAGAACCAATCGGCGGTAAGTAATTCAATAGATGAAAGATTTGGCCACTTTAAAGCTTCAGCAAATGTGTAGAGGTCATGAAACTGCTGCTTTTTCTGAAGAAGATGAATATTAACTTTCTTAGTTAGCATGATAGTAACTCTTGGATTATGATCGCTTACACAAATCAAATTTACCACTCTTCTTGAAGTTGTCAATACGAACGTTCTTCTGCCACCTTTTAGCGAGAGCAAGGTCCCACTTAACCTTTTCGGGGAGGTTTCTCAATATTTCTAGTTTTACTTCCTCTCCAAACCTTTGAATCCTCATCTCAAGCTCAATGGCGATCAGAAGTTGATGGAAAAATGGCTTGGAAATTTGCTTTTCGGAGAGTGTCTTATCGATAAAAAACTGAGCTACCACTTGATTTTCACTTTGGCTGAAATCTATCCATTCATGACGTGAAAGAGCCCTGACGAGATCATAAATTTGCATACCGGTTGTATTTTGAGATCCCTGGCGTTTAGAAGGAGGGTGTAGAAGAATCTTATAGATATTTCTTGTTTGATGGCTTTGTGTGTTCCCCGCTAATTCTGATTCAAGGTGAGATAATTGGTCAATGATTGTATCCAATGTGATTTCACGGAGTTTCACGCTTGTATCGCACAATTTATCCTCTTGGTAAACCTGTGAGCTTAGGTTGATCCAATGGTTAAGCCTGACTGTTCCAGGCATAGAACCATAGCAGAACGCCATCGAAGGCTGCTCGAGTGTTTCCCACGGATATTTTGACATTCCAAGACCAAGCAATCTTAGGCTTGCAGAATGCACAAACATATCAGTGCGGCCGTCATTCTCGTCGATGGTTTGTCCCGAGAGAGTCGCAAAAAGGTGGTAGAAATCTTTACCAGCGTGTGTAATTGGAAGCTTATGTCCGACAAATGTTACAGCTCCTGTAGCGATTAAAGCTTTTGCCTTGAGCGGGGAGAGACTGTCGGAACCAGTACTTCCTAGCGGAGGCCATACTTTGGCCGATACTTCCTCTATTGAATGTTTGACCCGTCTATGAGTGCTAGTACTCTGAACACTTTGTACTTGATTTCGTCTTCTGAGTGGGGTCGGGTTTGTGTAAGGAATGTAGATATCGTTGTAGATATCATCAAAGCTGTCGCGTCGCGGCTTGCGAGACTTTACCTTCTTTCTTCCCTATCATAGTGAATTCGTCAATAAGATTTTTTGCGGCTAACACTTTGATTTTAGATTGGGCATACGTACATATGTGTTGTCTTGCCTCTTGTCGGTGAAACTTTTGCTTCGTAATAGACCGCAAAGCTTACCCCTCGGGTCGCTCATATCTTCACGTGATCTCGGTCGGTAGCGGGCCAGGTCACAAGGCGATAAGATATTGATGGTTGCAAACAACGAAGTTAGTTATGGATACTAAATTATTCAACCTCTTGAAAAATAAAGGATTTTCATGCCTATTAATTTTCTTTTCAAAGCAGCTAACAAGTTAAAAATAAAAATGATCAAGGAAATCCACGTGACGTCAGTTCAAATGTTTAAATTGAGGCTGTCCCCAGCCCCTTGTTACATGAACTCACATACATTTGTCTTGGCTGCCGGAAAGATTACCCATAAGCATAACTTGCGCTGCTATACATTACACATCATGCTCCTCGAAGGGCATTGGATACTTTCCTTTGAATTGGCTGGCTTATGCACTTCATGTTTTGATTGATGGTCACTAAACTTAGCTCCCTCAGCTGCATTCAAATATACCTAGAATCTATAGGTCTCAATTGTCCTGTTGAAATACGAGCGAATGCTCGCATGCGAAAGACTAATTTTACAACTTATGGCTGGTAAGATTGGGGTTTAAATTTGGCGATACTTCACATTGTGCTCGGGCTGCCGTTGTACAATTACAGTCGCTCAGTCCAAAATTTACCAGAATATCGTTTGCACTCGTATCGATGCCTCTAGCGCAGGATACCATCACGTAGCTCTAAAAGTGTTGGGGTAGTGCAACCTCTGTTGCTAGATATAATGCTTCTAACCTCCGGCCTGTTAAGATCTCCGCCGGCGGGAAACGTCAAATACCCCTGTTCAAACTAGTCCCTGCTAGTATCTTATTGCAGAGCGCATCGCATCGAGTGGTGGTTGGAATAGACATGGTCATATGAAATTTCACACCAATTACGCATCTCTTTCAAGCTCTAACAAGATGACTTACAAGTCAAATTCATCGTCCAACTTCTTTAGATATGAGCAAATTTCCCTCGGTGGCTCACCCGGTCTAGTCTGTGTAATCTCAGATTCATTCATGACTATTTTGTGATAAATACCTGAACCTGACGACTTGACTAAGATTACTGCTCTTCAGTGATATTTATACGAGAACTGAAAGGCGGAAATGGCATGTGAAAACATTTAATCAGCTAATTTTTGGCGGCTCAAAAACTAGCATAAAATTTCAGTGTGAAATGATTAGCTGTAATATTTTTCGCAAAAAACGGCGCCTTTTACACAGATCGAGGAATCGTCGATATCTTCATTAACAGTCAGCTTGACAAACTGTGGACAAGATTCCGCAACGTCTTCTCCTGCCCAGGAATTGGCATCTTGCAAATTTCGTGAGAGATACGATTTAACAGCAATGTAGGATTCATGAGGTAATGTCATATAGACGAGTCGTATCCGATGAAGTGGTACCTCATGATCACATTTAATATTAGAGTTATTTCCTGGAAAAATAACCAATATGCTTGTGATAACCGCTTTCTCACCGTTAGATTAAAAATAGAGTTTAAAGGTTTTTTTAAAATGAGTGATATAACTACTGTCAACACTCAATCTATGACTATCAGGACATTTAAGTCTTCTATGCTCATCGACCGGGGCGACTTGCGTTTCGGCTAGTAAGTCCCATGTTGTGATTTTTGTAAAGCCCCTTCCAATAATGCCAATCCTCAGAAGCCTTCGTTAAATTGCATACTAAGAGGAGTACTTTGATGTTCATACTCTCCTACTCCAGAGCAATGGAACGAATGGAAAATGCTTGTTTGTGGTAGCTAGAGGAATTGAAAACACTCACTGCGTTCACGGCACACGTACATCGACCTCAGGACTTAACTTAAAAAATGGACAACTTTCAAAAGCGTCCTGAGGGGCTGGCCAGCCGGGTGCTGCAGATTTGTGTACACCAAGGAAAGTCATTTGCTGCCTTCCTAGCTTCTTTAATGCGTCTAATGTACTGAAGAGTACCTTGAAATCATCGACAAAAGTAACTCTCTTGACTGAAGTGCTATAGAATTTGAGAGCGAAATTAAGCATCATAAATGCCGTAGGCACCGGTGATAGAGAGATCTGTTGGTTTTCTGTTATCGGATTTTCATTTGCCCAAAGTAAGCACCACGCTATACGTTGTAATAAGGGCGTCACTACCTAATATGGCAGCGATTGAAATCACACAAGTCCTTTGACCAGGACTGTGGATCGTTGTCATCATCTTCAGTCGGGACTGGTCAAAGCTGAGCTATCACGAATGTGTAGAGGGGGGCGAGAGAGTCTTAGCGGCAATGATGTCTGCTTGGTAGAGTATCGATTGTGTACTCCGAAGAGATAAGATACTTGCAGGGATTAATATCGACAGGCTATGAGTCATAAACCCTCTCCCAGAACAAATATCGAGCTACATGCGTGAGGGGTCCAGTTCTAATTAAGGAATATTTGACCATTGCAAGATTTTAGCTCATCATGACGCATAATCGGTGTTTTATGCGCATATTCAACGACCTTTAAACCTTGGCGACGCATCAGCCCAGCATCTCGTTTGTAGATATCATGATCAACTATATTTGATTACAGGGCTGGATGGTGCAGTGGTACACCATTCGGCCCGTTCTCCCAAGTGGAATCTTGGTAGTTTGAACACCCACCACATTTGAGACAGGAGAGAGAGAAGTGTGTTTATTGTATTACTTGAATCTTAGACTATCTAGCACATTGGGCTCCTCTCTGACCCAGGCCACATCTTGTACAGTTCTCCTTGCTTCTCATGTTTCTTGAAAGATAATGATATGTTGTCCTTGATGAATAGCCATTCAGCTCAGTATTTACCCGTGGAATTCTGCCACCCTTTCCACGGAACCCTCTGAGACAGGAGAAAGCTAGTTCGAATGCAGTAAAACACACCACACTCTCTCGCGGTAATATTGTATTTGTGGGGTGATGAAAGCATACTTGGATTACCCTAAGTTTTCACGCTTTTCCCTGTGGTGGATATGCATGGAAGAGGTTATACGTCGTAAGGGTTAACCCCGAGTGGTATCAGCAAATGAAATTTGAGTGTGAGTGTCCTAAATTTCAAATTGAGTCATCCTGTTTAAAGCAATATATCTTCCGATAAAAACCTGCAAGGGCCTCAAGGTGCCAAATCAGGACAATTAAATATTTTATTACAAATCACTGCGAACCTTTTAAGTTGAGTGTCTACTAAAGTGAAGTCTCTATACCTATAATTACCCAGCCTGGCTCCGTCATCAAATCCACTAATCGGAACAGCGATCTCAAGTTTCGAGTCGGACAGGTGTCAAAAATGCCTTAAATTTACATGAAATATCACCTCAAGTGCCGCTATCCACCATATCTAACTGTCGGCGGAACATTGGAGAATAGTTGATCCGTTGGCTCACGTAAGCTAGACGCGCACGCGTGCTATTAGCTAGATATTGGCTTAGCCAACTAGAATAGAATAACAATGAATATATATACATCCAGTTGTCTTTGCATCTACTCGTCACGTACTTGATACATAACCCATCCAATACTAAAAGATTTTAAACTGCATAATCCAACTTTACTTGATAGTGTGATTTTTTGCACTGTAAAAGTCCTAATTTAGACTTCGTAGTTCACTACGGGTACCACATCGCACAGGCCCAGCTCATACACACCGCATAAACCTTCACAGAAGAAGTAGAGATCGAGAAAACTTAAATCAAGATTTGGAAGGATTTCCATACTTACGGCCCAGGTCCCGGGCATATTGCCCATTTCTAAATATTACCCTTGTTATGATGTTCGTTAACAAAGTAGCCAAGATAATGGCATGATGTAAAATCTTAGCCCGCCGGACAATATCACTAGTTGACTGGTTAAACGAGCATGTATAGCATCTCCTGGGTATACCCACATTAAATAGACACAGCTCTTATCTTATACTTTCTGTCGACTTCCCTACGACATAGTTTAATATAAGTCTGCTCGCCATCATTCATGGCAATGAGCTTCATCCACTACTCGAATCTCCACAGCATACCCATCGCTTTGCTCATTACCACAAAACATTCTTCTCGCGGTTACAACACTTGAGAGATTCAGACATACTTTACCTTGCCATATGTCTTCTGACTAAAATTTTTATGAGTTTAGACGTCTTGAATACCAGTATTTTTTTATAAAATCATATTGTATTCAGTAATCTAGATATGGCATATGATCAGTGCTATGTATACATATTAGATGACTCTTATGAAGTTAGAGACACTCATACTCTGGATTTCATTTGCAAATAATACTACCAGGTATATATGCTTACACAAATAGTCGATCCTCTGTGAGTACCCAGCAAAGATAAGTTCCAAAAACTTTGATTATCCAACCATGCCTCCGTCATCCATGCACACGAGCACCATAAGAAATGTCATTTAATCTTGCTGGATTCGAACCTGATACTTCCTGTCTCAAATGGAGTAGGTGTCCAGGCTATCCAGAATTTACTCGTGTGATAGCATGAGGGTCAGGAAAGACTCTGACTAAAAGGCAAAACAATAATATGATTGTAATCTATGAGGAGAGAAAGACATGGTGGCTAACGCAATACTATATACACATAAAAGTGGTTCCTCACTGGTCCAAGCGTACATTGTAGCACGTGATTAGTGTCCTATGACATTACTTTCCTCCCCCGGTTTCATTTATTTGTTTTTCTTTTTCGCATAGTTCGATTTCTTAATGTTCGACCTGTAAACATCCCTAACTGAAGACCAACTTTGTCGCCATCCCCGTACTGCTTGACAAATTCTTTGTAGGCATCTGTTAACTTAAGATTTTGTCGAGGCTCCCATGTGGGTTCAGCAAACCCTTTCCAGAATACCAGGACTTTGCGACGCCCATTGATTGTTTCAGCGCGAACTATTTTCTCAACAGCATACAACGGATGTTTTCCATCAACTAACGGGGGCGGCTGTGTGTCATCGACTTTTTGTGAAGGCAGTGGATCATTTGGGTCATGCCTTAATAAGTCTACAAAAAATCGATTATGTATGCCTGTTGGTACATCTAGTTGA